AGGGTTGGATGCTGAAACAGTGGTCACCAAGTGATCAAGTAACCTCCCATACATTTCAAATTCTGCCTTTACTGCTTCCCGTTGCTCCATAGCTGATTTCTCTTCACTTTTTCTATTTCTACCCTTAGGCACTATGGCAACATAAGCATTCTTAAGCTTCCCAATTTGACCATTCTTCTTAAACTTGTTGTTATTGTTGCTGTTCCGAAACTTGTCCGGAAGAAGGTTTGGGTGAAGTTTCCAACAAGTGTCCTTAGTATTCTTCGGTTTCTTGTAGTACTGACATATTGCTTCTTTTTTCTTAGTCGACCCTTTCGGCTTTATTCCAACATGTTTGTGAGCGTCAGGAAAACGACCCACTTGGGTTGGAAATGGAATCGCCACCCATTAGTTAGGGAAATAGAGGTGATGAGACCTCCGAGAATGATTTTAAAAAATGTTTTGTTTTAATTGCGACTCTGAAGCTCGAGGCACCGGCTAAACTAGTTTGGGTAAGATTCGAATGGGAGAGGGAAGGAGTTAAGCACTCCTCTCTTGGGTCCAATAGGTGGGGCCCACATGAGATTATCAAACAAGCATAAGCACAAAATAATTAACTAAGATCGTAAGGTAGTAAAACAAATAAGGAGCAAAACACCCTAAGAGAATTCCTCCAATTATTTTTATTTATTTTATTTTTTATTTTTCATTTCATTTTATTTTTATTTATTTGTTTCCTTTTCTATATTTTTCTTTATTTTATTTTAGGGAAATCGTCCAAAACCCGCCATCACTTTTTATGAATTCTCTTAAACTCACCCCAACTTTTCAAAACGTCCAAAACTCACCATGTTACTAACTTGATGTTAAACAGACTAACGGGAGTTAACACATTACAATTTTACCCTTCATAGAAAAATATAAAATATATACCTATATATTTTAATATTTTAACTACAAATATATGAAAAAAAGGAAAATGTTCAAAAAATGTTTTCAAATATAAAATACATAAAACACAGAAATTACAAAAAAAATAAAAAACTATAGAAATTGAAAACAAAATTAGAAAATAAAGATTGTAGAAAACGAAAAAATGTAAAAAACATAAATTAGAAAACATAAACATTGGATATTATTTGTGTTATTTTCTTACGGAACCCCATTTGATTTCATTCCAAATATATATATATATATATTCTAATCTTTTATCTCTTACGATTTTATAATTTTTCTCTTTTTTATTTTTATATTTATTTCATCCTTTTTTATTATTTTTTCTTTTTACTTTTCTCTTTCAATAGTTTATCTACTGTCAAATCCTCCAAGTATTTTTTTTGATCAATAACACTTTCATTAAATCATCAATAGAAGATTTACAAGAGGAAGACAACCACACTTATCTTCCAAGAGCAACAAAGGACCTCAAGAAAAGGAAAAAACACTAAAGTTACAGCTTAGCCCAAAACAGTGAATCCCTTTCTGCCCCTTGTTTAGCTAAACCATCAGCTAGGGAATTAGCCGATCTTTTAACCCAACATATCTTAACTTCCATCTCCCGCACCGGCCACTTAAATTTCCTCCTCTCATTGTTGTACTTCCATAAGCCATTGTTATTTTTATTCAGTCACCCTATCACCACCTCTAAATCCCCTTCAATTATGAGTTTCCTGATGTTCAACTCCTTAGCTTTCTGGACTCCTTTCATAATTGCAAAGATCTCATCTCTAAGGGAGTCACCCAMTCCAATTGGGCCTGAGAACATGGCAGAAATGACCCCATTCTCATCCCTAAAACACCCCCAATCCCCGATTGTCTCAGATTTCCCCTACTACACCCTTCAAAGTTTAATTTCAAGAATCCAACAGGTGGAGGGGTCCAAGACACACTCATTACTGACTTGGTTTGTGTGCAATTTGCAATTTCACCCCACTTCCTCAACATGCCATCCACAGTGTAATATGTAAATAGCTCCAAAGATTTCAGCCACCGTACAATCCTAATATGTATGATAACCCTCAGATCTGTTGCTCCTCTCTCAGCTTCTGAGAATATCCTGGAATTTCTTTCTTCCCAAAGTGTCCAACATACTGCAGCCCTTAGTCCTCTCCACATAGTCCTTCCCCTTTTTATCCGCCACCTGAAAAAAGAAGGGGAAAAAAGGCCCTGCAAGTCTGATGGAGGATTCCAGCTACATCCAAATAGGGAGAAAGCCCAATCCCAAATTGACCTCGCAARATGGCAAGACACCAGTAGGTGAAAACCAGTCTCCCCATCCACTTTACAAAGAACACACCAATGAGGTGACAAGCAAGTATTGGGTCTCTTCTTTTGGAGTAGATCACCAGTGTTTATTCTTTCCAGATAGGCTTCTCAACAAAAACTACCAACCCTAGGAGGTATTGCTCTGCACCAAACCTCATCAACAGGGAAATGGGGGAAAGTAGAACTGGTGGATTGACTTAAGACTTTGAAGAAGGAAGCACAAGAAAAGATGCCATTGGGGGTAGGTGTCCAAATTCTAGAATCCGCCCTAGTGGGGTCTAAGACAACGTTATCAAGAAGTTCAATAAGGCTCGAAATACTGTTGAAGTCTAAGTCCCTCAAATCCCTTTTTAGACCTAAGTTCCACCCAATCCCAGAAGTGGAAGAGGACGGGGTGGTGAAAGATGAAATTGGCTCATTTTTCAAATCAGATAGAGCATACAAAGAAGGAAATTGATCCTTTAGAGGGGCACTCCCCACCCAGGTTTGTTCCCAAAATTTTATGGAGTTACCGGAATTCAAATCATACCTGATATTAGGGGAGAAAACTGGTAGCAKGTCATGAATGGCTTTCCAAGGAGAATTGCTCGTGATCCTAGCTCTGATTCCAGCGTCCCATCCATTGTTCTCCAGCCCATGTATACTTGCCACTATTCTAGCCCATAGCTTCTCCTTCTCCATAGGGAACCTCCACAACCACTTTCCCAAAAGAGCCATATTTCTTATCCTAATATTCCCAAGCCTCAAACCACCACAAGTCTTACTCCTACACACTATCTCCAGCTAACTCTATGATCCCTCTTCTCCTCTCCCGGCTCCCACAGGAAATCTCTCATTAGCTTCTCCAATCTGTTAGAAACATTCACTGGGATTTTAAACACCGACAGGAAAAAGATGGGTAAGTTAGCAAGCGTGGCCTTAATTAGTGTGATTCTCCCACCAAGAGAGAGGTAGTTCTTTTTCCAGGGTACCAGTCTTTTTTCAAACCTTTCCACCACCGGGTTCCAAAAGCTCTCTCTCATAGGATTATCACCTAATGGCAACCCTAAGTAGTTCAAAGGCCACCCCGAGACTTCACACCCCAGCACTTCAGCACTCTCTCTGATCTCTCCCTCCTCCATATTCACCCCCACTACACAACTTTTCCCAAGGTTAACCTTCAAGTTGGACATGTGCTCAAACAGTTGTATCACTGACTTCAAGTTCCTGATAAAGCTCACATTAAAGCCTTCACAAAACATAATCGTGTCATCAACAAACTGCAAGTGAGTGAGGGGGGTTTCCACCCTCCCAACTCTCCAACCTCTAATGAGCCCCCTAGAATTTGCTCTGTGAATCAGTTTCCCCAATACCTCTGCAATTAGAATGAATAAGAAAGGAGAGAGGGGGTCTCCTTGTCTTATACCCCTACTGGTTGGAAAGAAATCTACCACTGTCCCATTCACTAGCACTGAATAATGACAATTCCGGACACAACCCATGATCCACTTACACCATCTAGCCCCAAACCCCAATTTAGTCAAAACTTTCCTCAAGAAATCCTAGTCCACCAAGTCATAAGCCTTTTCCAAGTCCAACTTACGGACCACTCCCTTCTTTTTATCCCTCTTAAAGTTCTCCACACTTTCATTAGCAATTAAAATCTGATCAGTAATTTGTCTTCCACTCACAAAAGCTCCTTGATAATGTGTAATGACATCTGGCAATTCCTCCTTCAGCCTCAAAGACAACACTTTTGCAATGATCTTATACAAGCTATTTACCAAGCTAATTGGCCTAAAATCCTTCGGGTGGGATGCATCTTTCTATTTTGGAATTAAGGCTATAAATGTAGAGTTCACACCCGGATTGACAATTCCTCTCCTGAAAAAACTCCTCAAACACCTGCAAAAGATCATCTTTCAAAATATCCCAACAGCCCTGATAAAAAGCCATTGTGAACCCATCCGACCCTGGAGCTTTTGTTCTATCCATAGAAAACACAATCTCCTTGATCTCTTCCAAATTAAAACTTCTTTCCAACCTTCTCCTGTTCTTCACGCCTACATCTGGCCAATCCAATCCTTTTACCCACACCCTTCTACTCACAGGCCTTCTTAGAATGGATTTTAAGTGCTCCACATAGGCCCCGACTATCTCCTCTTGTTGTATTAACTCAACTCCATCTACTACCAATTTGGAGATAAAGTTCTTCCTTCTCCTGCCATCTGCCAAAGAGTGGAAATACCTAGTGTTTCTGTTTCTTTCTTGCAACTATTTACACCGAGATTTTTGCCTCCAGCTAATTTCCTCCTTGTGCAGGCAGTCCTCTAACAGTCTTCTCAAACCTCTCTTGAGTTCATTGTCTTCCTCTCCAAATTCTCCCCTTTTTCTTTAGAGTCAAGGCTTTCAAGTTTATCCATTAGAGCTCCCTTTCTTTCTTCTATCCTCCCAAACTCCACCAAATTCCACTCCTTGATTTTTGCTTTCAAGAATTGTAGTTTCTTATGGAATCTCATCCCCTCYCATTCCACCRDWGGGTTAYACTCATACCACCACTCCCTCACTTTGTTAGTAAACCCTGGATGAAGTAACCACATATTTTCAAATCTAAAGGGGGTAGGACCTCCACATATTCTTTCCTCCTTACATAACACTATGGGCCAATGATCCGAATTCACCCTTGGGAGCTCTAAAAGCCAAGGTTCCCCAATGTTCTTCCCAATCCAAAGAGAACAGGAATCTATCCARCTTAGAGCAAAYGRGTCTAKATTGGAGATTTGACCATGTAAATGTCTTATGGGCTAGGGGAATCTCTTTAAGCTCAAAGGCATCCACAAAACTGTTAAACTTCTTCATGCTTTTTGTCACCCTTTGATTAACCTTAT